TGCATATAAAATGCTGGCAAATTTCAAGGAAATATAATATTTGAGAACACACGCTTGTTTTATGCGTTTTTCATAGTTGCAAAGACCATAGCAAGCGGGACAAACATAGATTTCGTGTGCCAGCAAAGCAATTGCTTGTATAGAATGTTGAAATTCCGTTGAAAAACTATTATTGATAATTATTTTAACTAGTAACCAACTAGTTACTTTTGGTCCAGTTTCTTTTCTTCTCCATATTTATCTAAAAACAGTATTTTTGCTAATAGAAATTATTTGTGATTTTCACAACTAGTTCCTAACTAGTTACTGTCGCTGAATTTGCTAATTTCTTAAGAATATTTTCATTCTACATATAAACAATCAATCGATATATTTTCGATCTCGTAAGATACATCTACAGACAATACTCTCTTCGTAAACCCTCCGAAAATGATGTAGCGAGTCTTTTTTTCGCCTGCCGACGCTCAATAATCAATCGCTATAAAGCGTCAGTCTTGCGAAAGACCACCAGTCTACTTAAGTAGCCCCTAAAGATATCATTAAACTAAGCTTTCTTGTAACTTTTACCCCGTCATTAATTACCTGCTGCATTTTTGACCACCCAAGCTAACTGACCGCGTTTCCATATGAACCACCAGTGCCGCTGCTGATGGTGTTGTCGACGCATTTATTGTTTTAATACCTTAATACAAAGAAATAATATATGCCAATAAATTTGAGCTGGACATATAAATGACTGCATAGGTGCGCATGTATGTGGCACACACAATTTAGTCACACACAGTCGCTGTGTGACGCGACGGACACATAAAATATTGATTTGATTCGTTAATAGCTGTATCTGGGATCGCGCTGAGCTGAGCGCACCGCTTCGCGCTGGGAAAGGTTGGTGGACAAAAGCTGCTTTTGCTTTTTTTAATTGCTTCATGACTATGACATGCAACGAATCGAATCAGACAACAGGCGACAAGCGCGCAAACGCGCAAACGCGCCTGATTATACGGTACATATGTATTTATGTATAGCAGATATATGTATGTGTAGTGTGCATATGCACTTACCTGTAATAGCGGCGACTAAGTAGGTAGTAAGCGCATAAATATGAGATTTGGCTGCCGCAACAACGCGCGTCTCTGACGCTGTTGGTTATGACGTTTAATGTTGTTGTTGAAGTATTGTTRTTGTTGGATTATATGTTAAGCGCTTGTTGTTGTTGCAAGACCGCACAGCATGCGCGCGACAAGTTTACAGCACGCTGCGCATAGCGCGCACACAGGGGCCAACGTCGCGCAAAGCAGCGCGCTACACCGCGATGCAGCCGTCGCCTAAAATGACACAAATAAAAACAAAATTAAATTTAAGCAAAAGCAGTTTTATATTTTTTAAGCGCGCTGTTTTTAATTACCATAATTTTTTCTGCGCGCCAAGATGAACAAGGCGCGCGGTTGCAAGATAAAAAATTTACAGAAAAAGTAACAAAAAAAAAATTCAGCAAAGATAACAAAATATAATAAAAACAAGTAAATAATAATAGAAAAGCAACAAAATTAAATATTCTTCAACATTTTAGTCACAAGCTTGGTGACATATAAAACGCGCCCCGGCCTCATATGTATATTTTTATGGCTTATAAGCCAAAAGCAACAACAGTAATAACGTAGAAATACAAAAACTGTTGATACGCTGAATTTATAGCCTCGCCTAGTCAAGTCCACAGCGCCGACAGCCAACCAAACTGCCGCCGCGCAGGCCTGCCAGCCCATACATTCACCATGACGCTAGCCGCGCATCAACGTCACCACCCATTCACTTTTATTTTTATGCATTCCTTTTCTATTTGTTGCACTCAAAGTGCCAGGCAACGCGCTAGCCAGTTGATCACTTTATTCGTCGTGGCTGCGAGTCACGTCACGCCATGCCACACAGCCACAGCGCAAACGCCATTGCAATGCAAGAGCGCAAAAAAAGCGAAAAAGGAAAGGAAAAGTCTCCGTAGCCGGGACCCCACACGCGCTTGCCACTACACGCTGCAGCAGCGCACCACACTAGCAAACCGCGCGGCTTAGGCCACACCGGGCGTCTTAGACATGTGGACGTCCCACGGTTTGTTAGCCGCACTAGAGAGCTGCCTGACTGGTTGGTTGGCAGTTTTTGTTGTTGTCGCGTTGGTCGTTTGTGCCTCATAGCTATTTTTGCTTATTGGTGGCACGCCATTGTTACAACGCGTCGGCAATAGCGGCGACAGCGTCATGATACCGCGCGAAAGCCGCCGCCACGCCATTATTAACTGCCGCGCAGTGTTGCATTTAATGTCTTTGGCAGTTTTGTTTCTTTTCTATTTGAGTTGGATTATAAAAAACGCCAAGTTAGTGGTTCAACGTGGCTGGTTGTTGGTGCATAGCAAACGCCATTTTGTTGCACATTGAATTTAATGCAATGCAAGGCTTTAGGGGCTTTATTGACAGGCCAGTCTTTGAGGTATTTAGTTAGAATTTTACATTTACGATTTCAAAGTTCTTTTCTTAAGTTTGAAAATTTGTAATTACGATTTTTTCCGAAATTTCTTTAATCATTAATTCTTTTCAATTTGAAGCAAAGACTTTTTTAATTTAAAGCAATTTTTTTAAAAACCAAAAACAAAATTTTAGAAAAGAAAAACTATTTTTTTATAATTTTATTTTTAAATTTAAAATATATGAATTGAATATGTTATATTTCTAATTTTTGCAATTTAATTTTTTTCCATAATTGAAATTAATAATTGTCGCGAATTTTGTAGAATTTTCAATTCATTCAACATAAATTATTATTCTTAATTTTTTTAACTTAATTTTTTTATTTCAGTTAATTTTTTTAAGTGAAACTTAGTTTTTTTAATTACATTTAATTTTTTTAAACTTGGTACATTGTTATATATTTTCCTTTTTTATCAAAATAAATTTTTTTCTTTTAATATTTGTTCCGTTGTAATTTTAATTATTATTTTTTTACTAATTTTACATGTTAATTTTTTTCGTAATTTAAATTAAATATTCTGTTAAAAATAAAAAATTTCTTTTTAATTCTATTTAATTTTCTAAATTTCATTTAATTTTTTAAACTTTGTTACTTTTTCATATAATTTTCCTTTCTTATAAAAATTAACAAGTTTTCTATAATAGTTTTGTTTAAGTATTGTGGCATATTTTGAATAATTTTAATT